CAATGAGATATCACCTCAGACCTGTCAGAATGGCTGTCATCAAGAGATTAACAAATAAGTGTTCATGACAATGTGAATAAAGGGAACCCTTGTGCACTCTTGGTGAGAATGAAATTGGTGCCACCAATGTGGAAAGCAGTATGGAATAGCCTCAAAATATTAAATATGTAAGTGTCTTGTGACACATAGGTTCCATTTCCAGGGATATATCCACCGAAACACTGATTTGAAATAATATATGCACCCCTATGGTCATTGAAACGTTATTTACAATAGCCAAGATTTGGAAGCAGCCCAAGTGTCCATCAGTAGATGGCATATTTACTATAAAACTGCTATGGGCCCGGCTGGTGTGGCTCAATGGTTGAGCATCAACCCATGCACCAAGTGGTCACTGGTTCAATTCTTGGTCAGGGCACTTACCCAAGTTGTAGGCCCAATCTCCAGTGGGAGGCATGCAGGAGGTGGCCAGTCGATGTTCTCTCTCATCAATGTTTCTATCTCTCTCTCCCTCTCCCTTCCTATCTCTGAAATCAATAAAGAAAAAAATTAAAAAAAAAAAAACTTCTATGGTACATTTACACAATGGAATACTACTCAAACGTAAAAGGAAGGAAATTGTACCCTTTGCAACAGAATGGGTCAATCTGAAGAGCATTATGCTAAGTGAAATAAGCCAGTAAGAGAAAGACAAGTACCATATTATTTCACTCATATGTAGAATCTAATGAACAGAATAAACAAACAAAATAGAAACAAACTCAAAGATAGAGAACAGACTAGCAACTCTCAGAGGTGAAGGGGTTGTGGGGTTGGGAGAAAAAGGTGAAGAAATTAAGTTAAAAAAGAAAATGAAAAGTCAAGCCCCAGACTGAGGAAAAAATAGCAAATTACATATCTCATAAAAGATTTTAATAAAAACATATAAAAATCTTTTTTAAAATTCATTAAGGAGACAGTCCATTTGTAAATGGGCAGAAGATTTGAATAGGCATTTTAATCAAGAAAACATAGAAATTGTTAATAAGCCGATGAAAGGTGCTCAACATCATTAGTCAATAGAAATGCTAATTATAATTGCAATGAGATAAATCTTTATATCTACTAGAATGGCTATAGTAAAAAAGATAGACAACATCAAGTGTTGATGAAGATGTAGAGAAATTGGAAACCACATACATTTCTGATTCTAGTGTCACAATATGAAGAACAGTTTTGCAGTTTCTTAAAATGTTAAGCATAAATTACTGTAAGATGAAGGAATCAATTGCACTCCCAAGATCTACCCAAGAGAAATAAAACCATGTGTTCACATGAATGTTTAAAACATTATCCATATTACTTATACAGAAAATAATCCAAATATCCATGACCAGGTAAATTGACAAACAAAATGTTATATATCCATAAAATGAAATACTACTCAGCAATAGAAAGAAACAAATTGCTATGATTCATGCTAGAACATGAATAAATTTCAAAACATTATGCTGAGTGAAAAAAAAAAAAACAGATGTAAAAGACCACATGTTTTATCATTGTGATTATATGAAATTTCTGGAAAAGGCCAATCTATATAAACAGAAATGAAGTTAGTGGTCGCAGAGATTGAAGATGAGAACAGCGAGTGACCAAAAATGGGCATGAGGGATCTCTTTTGGCATGATGAAAATGTTCTAAAATTGGATTGTGTTAATGGTTGTACAACCCTGTAAATTTACAAAACACTGTTGAGTTGTAGAACCAATATTGACCCCAAGGAAAACATAAGAACACATGAGATTGCTTGTTTTTCTTTCAGTGTAAGACTATGACAATCTAGAAAGAGACCTATAACATATAAATGAGTAATTATCATCAGTGACTGAAGGTAACAAATGTTATGAGCACCTTTACTCTGGTCCAAACTACCATTATCCTTTTCTCTCTTTTGCAATAGCTTCTTATCTGGTCTTCCCCCTTCCTTCCACCATTCCTTCATAAGGTCTACTTTCTTTCCCTTTTTATTTAATAAATGACATGTAATATTTCATAAATTTGTGATGTACAGAGTGTTAGTTTGATATATATATATCATATTACGTATATATATCGTATATATATATATGTACATATATATATATCATAATATGATTGGCATTGTAGGAATATTATCACATTATATAATTATAGTACAATTTATGGTTTCTATTATACTATGCATTAGACATCTATGGCTTGCTTATTTACTACTCATTACAAGTTTCTTTCTTTTTTTTTTTTTTTTTAATCATCCTCACCTGAGGACATTTTTCCATTTTTTGTTCAGATAGAGCGGGAGGGAAAGAGAGGAGGAGAGAGAGAGAGAAACATCGATGCGAAAGGGACACATCGAGTGGTCGCCACCCGCACAACCAACCAGGGCCGGGGACAAACTGCAACCGAGGTACGTGCCCTTAGCGGGAACTGAACCCGGGTCCCTCCAGACCGCAGGCCGACGCTCTAACCGCTGAGCCAAACCGGCCAGGGCTCATTACAAGTTTCTACTTTCACCATAGCAGCACATGATCTTGTTAAAACTTAGTTCAGATTATTTCACTCCTCTGCTCTAAATGCTTCAATGGCTTTCCATATCAGAGTAATGTTCTAGGTCTTTAATATGCTTTTAAGGCACTCCATAATTACTCTCTCCCTCAGCTCCAGGTAGCCCCAAAGCCTGCTTAATATTTAGTAATATTCCGGTGTGCACCCATCTCAGGCCCATGCTACTAGATGTTCTCTCTGCCTGAAACTTTCTTCCACTGGGTTTCTACGTAGCTTGCTCTCTCATCTCCTTCAAATCTTTGCTTAGCTGTCACCTTCATAGTAAATCCTACCCTGATCACTTGATTGAAAAATTCAGTACCCATCCCCAGATTTCCCTGTCTCCTTTTCATACTTTATTTTCTCCAAAACATTTATCATCTTATAACGTACATAATATATTCCCTTATTTTGGTTATTGTCTGATTCTCTTCCATTGCCAAAATGTGAGCTCCATGAAGGCAAGAATTTTTGTCTGCCTAGTTCACTGATATGTTCCCAGTGCCTCTAATAGTACCTGGAATGTATTAGGTACTCAATACATTTTTGTTGAATGAATGATAAAAAAGAGTTACTAAAGGCATTCATAAAAATGAAGCTTCATTTGAAATGTACAGATTGTGTTTGGGAGAGAGCCAGAAGGGTGTGTAAGAGATACTTAAGAGATGAGGTCAGAATGGGGAGGTTCTTGAATACGTAGAACATAAATATTGGATGAATGAATAAATTATCGAATGAATGAGCAGTCTGATTGTGTTCTGCACACTGCCTTAGCATCTAGTGAAATAGTATGACATGGATGGACTGTGAAGAGCTGACTTCTTGAAACTTTAGCCTTTTTCTATGGAAAGAACATCTATTGACAAATATCTTATAGAAAAGCCAAAGTGTTCTGTGCTATGCCTGAAATGGCCACTAGGAAATGCCCAAATCTATAATGCTGAACCTTTAAGAATGAAAGTGGGCTTCCCCATTAGAGGCTGTCAGGGAGCCTCAATCCCCTGACTGCTGCCTTTATAGGCATCTAATGGAGAAGAATAAGTCTTCCAACATTGCTTTCTCTATTTGCCTTATCCCATGACCCTAGCCAAGCCAAGTACAATACTGGACATATGGTTAGTGTCCATGACATTCAAGGCCCTTCAAAATGATACTTAGTTTTCTGCCACCTCTCCTAAACAGACCTTATGCTTGAGCTTTACTTGAGCTGCATCCTCTATATATATGACTTCTTGCCCCACAACCATTTTTATCACGCTAATTTCTCTCCCTTTTACTACCTATCCAATACCTAAGTGCCCCTTTAAGGCCCAGCACAAAAGCCATGTCCTCTATTAGCCTTCTCTGATTAGTATTGCCCTAACTGCTTACTGTCTTCCTGAGATACTGGGGCTGTCATCACCTGTCTCAGTTAGGAATTACTGACTTATAAAACACTGATTCAGAAACTGTCCCTATCCAAGCACTTCATTCTAGAGTTTCCAGTGAAAACAGAAATCTACCCATTCTGGATTGTCAGGAATGTCAGGAATGTAGTAAGGGATAGAGGTAAACAGATGGACTTGTGAAACAAACAAAAAAATGAATTTATGATCCTGAGTGAATGGTAAGGAACAGCCTATTCTTGGCAGGCCTCTCTAGAAGAAAAAGCACAGCCAGCCCTAGAAGAAGAGATGTTATCTCTAGCTTCCTCAAACCTGTCCTTAAGGATATAGGAGTAGCCTGGTCTACCCAGCTTCACCCACTCCCAGGCAAGCCCTCCCCACTGTTTCCCAGGCTCCTTCTCTCAGCCTTCATTATTCAACCTAGTCCAACTACTTGGCTGCTAGTATATGGGGAACTCTAACAGATGCCTGTGGCCTTTTTCCCTTTTAGACTCTCTCTAACTTGTATATTCTGTGCTTCATTCTCTGGAATCATGATACAGAGCAAAACGGAAATCACATGAAACTTGACAATGTGCCACAGAAAGCAAATACCAGAAATGTATCCTGGGGCAAGCAGAGAGAAAGTGGATCCTGCCTGGCGAAGTCCATGCCTGGATTAGTCCAAACCAGTTCCTGGACAGCAAGCCCCAGGCAGTAGGAGGGGAAGGTGAGACCCAGACAGAAGAAAATCAGCATTTACTTTTAATCTACATAAAAACAACTCTGTGACAAAATAGCTTTGTCATTATTTTAAAGACTGGGAATATCATGCACAGACAGGTGAGGGGACTTTACCCAAGGCTACAACAGTTAGAATGTAGTAGAGACAGGATTTGAACCCAAATTTCCATCACTATAATGACATTCTCTTTCTATTGGACCATGCTGTTTCTATATATCTTATCTAGGATTTCTCTCCTAACATAATTATGGGCACGCTGGGGGTAATCAGTTCTTTTACTCGGTTCTCTGCCTGGATAATAAACTCCAAAGCCAACATTTGCTACTTACATTGTAGAATGTGAGATACCATCAATGCTGTACAGTTGTCACTGCATGGAAGCTTTCCTAGAGCCAAATCCTTCTTTATTTGAAGACTAAAAAGATACCTGCAGGGAAGTTGGGAAAAAATATTTTGAGAAAGAAATAAGAACAACAACAAAAAAAACATGTCCCTTCTCCCAGATTCAAAATGTTTCAAGAAAGAAATGGCATCTCCCAGTCAGTGAGGTGCTTTTGGGGGGTGGTGAGTAATGCATAAGCTTTGTTTCAGCCACAAACCAGCACTAGACCACAACTAGGTTGATCTAGCACTTTGGCAGACCTCACAGCCATTAGGAATTACCCCAGCCAAATCCTCCTGCCAACTTGAAGGAGTTGGCCAATCATCCTCTGGTGGTTTTTGCCACGTAGCAAAGCCACATTCCCAGCTAAAGAGAAAGGGAAATTCAGTAAGAATCAGCCTGCTCAGGAGGTCACTATAGCTCTGTTTAAAAAATACAATCAAGCACTCACTATCAAAACAGCTTAGGAGGTTGGCAGGGCAGGAACGATCACTCCATTTCACAATTATGGGAAGACAGAGGATAGGTGATTTGGGTGAGGTAATATCACCCAAAGATAGTGAAACTGTGGCCAGAACTCAGGTCTGCCACTGAATTTAGGCATCCTCCTATTCAAAAGATAGTGTTTCAGAAATCATGGACTTCAGACCATTCTTTTGTCCCTCTGCCTGGACCTTCTCTGCATCACCACAGTCCAGCCCACCCAGTACTCTGCACAGAGCAGGCATGGAATTACCATATACTTAATAGAATGAAGCCAAACTGCCCTTTTCCCTCCAACAGTTCATCAAGGACCCATGAAGTGTCTGTTGGTATCCAGAGTTTTGCCAGAGAGCATTTCCCTCATACTTCTAAAACATTATCAAAGGAGAATCAACTTCTGAAAAAAAGTGTATAATTAAGATTCTACCACTGATTGCTTTATCCCATGGTCCAAAATTGGTTCCGATATTTTATTTTATATATTAAAATATTTATTATCTGCTGTGGGCACTTCCATTTATTTATATAAAACTCTATATGTTCTTTTATTTAAAACCAATTAAACCGTGAAGGCAATGTGGAGAATCAAAATTAAGTTTAGGTGATAGATGAAAATACAGACTAGAAAAAAATTGGTAAATTAGCAGGTAAATATTGAATTTACAAAAGCATTTGTCATTATAATCCTTCTTACTGTGAGCTACCCTAATGAGTAGAGATGATTCAATTAGAAAAATTATATTTGCACACTGGTCTCAGAAACTCAAGTATTGGACCTAAACAAGGCATCCTTATCAAGTCAATTATAGTTAAGTATTCTTTGATGAACCAGTGAGGAAAAATTAAAGGAATTCTAACCTTTGCCATTACCTGCTTTCAAGTATAGATGTAAATACAATTATAAGCCTCAATTGCTAAAGGGAAAGTAAATTTTATTCTGCTCGCAACAAGAAAAATAAATGAAACTTCAAGTCATTTGACATGTTTATTACTGTTAAGAGGGCAGCTGTCTGCTACAAATACCAAAACTTTGCTCTGAACAGCTGATGAATCATTTATAATTACATTGATTTTCTAATTCTTTTCTAAGGGGGATGAGAGAAAGTTTATCTCCATCAAAACTGGTCACAATTTGAGACTGAACTGAAATGGGTTATGGGCTGGCAAATGCAAATTGATATAGATACCAAGATATCAAGTTACCAGAAAAGTGGCCTATAACTCACAAATGTGGAAAGAATTGAGAGAGAGAGAGAGAGAGAGAGAGAGAGAGAGACTGATCTGTGAAAAGTGACTTCGCAAAGACCCCTCAGAAAAGAAACACCCCTGTAGAAAAGGGGTGAAAAAGAGCTAGACTTGAACCCTGTAGATGGGAAGACTTCAGGGAGAATAACTGACAGCATCTTGTGATTTTCGATAAGTAACTCTAGCTCCCACGACTTGTTTCCTCATCTGTAAACCAAGAGGGCTGGACTAGATTATCTCTCATATATCTTTTATATCATTTCTACATGTAAGAGTCTAAAATCTGGAAAAGAACCCAGCTAGTGTGGATCAGTGGTTGAGCATCGACCCATGCACCAAGAACTCACCTGTTTGATTCCCTGTTAGGGCACATGCCCAGGATATGAGTCAAATCCCCAGTGGGGTGCATGAAGGAGGCGACCAATAGATGTTCTCTCTCATTGATGTTTTTCTCTCTCTCTTTCCCAATCCCTTCCTCTCTTTCTAAAATCAATAAAGAAAAAAAAAAGTCTGGAAAACAGAGTAAAATTTTGCAATGTTATATTGAAAACATATATTTAAAGAAGTAGGTTCACATTATAATTTTAAAGGGCATTTTTAATAAGTATGAAAATACTTTTTAAAATGTTTTAGCCCTGCCTGGGGTGGCTCAGTTGGTAGGAGTGCCTCCTGTACACCAAAGGGTCCCAGGTACCTTTCCCAGTCAGGGCACATGCCTAGGATGCAAGTTAGATCCCCAGCACTGATTGGGGCATATGTGGGAGGCAACTCATCAATGTTTCCCTCTCACTTCAATGTTTCTCTCTCAATCTCTCTCTCTCTCTCTCTCTCTCTCTCTCTCTCTCTCTCTCTCTCTCCTCTCTTTAAAAATCAATGCAAATGTCAGAAGCCACAAACAACAGAATACCACCACCAACAGGGAAAATTTGGCAGGCTCCAAAACCCACTGAGATAGCAAAAATGGTGAAAAAAGAAACAAATCCCAAATGAAAGAACAAGAGAACTCTATCGAAGATGAGATCAATGAAATGCAGCTAAGCAAATTATAAGAGGTAGAGCTCAGAGCCATAATCTTGAGGAAGCTCAACAGCATGAGTAAGGATATCAGCACCATGAGTAAAGATATAGAAACACTGAAAACCAACCAAGTGAAAATGAATAATGACATAGCAGAAATTAAGAACACAATGGAAGGACTAACCAGCAGAGTAGAGGAAGCTGAGGACTGGATCAGTGAATTAGTAGACAGGGTAGAAAAATCAACCAATAGAAAACCAAAAGGAAAAAACAATTAAAAAACAGGAAGATAGCTTAAGAGAACTGTGGGGCAATTAGAAAGGTAATAATATTCGCATTATAGGAGTCCCCGAAGAGGAAGAAAATGGGCAAGGTTAGAAAATATATTTGAAGAAATAGTGACAGAGAACTTTCTGAACTTGATGAAGAAAGAAGGCATTTAAGTTCAAGAAGCACAGAGAGCCCCATTTAAGAAGAACGCAAAAAGGCCCACACCAAGACATATAGTTTTTAAAATGCCAAAAATTGGAACAAAGAGAAAATACTAAAGGCACCAAGACATAAGAAACAGGTTACCGACAAAGAAAAACCCATAAGGCTCTCATCTGACTTCTCAACAGAAACACTACAGGCCAGAAGGGAGTGGCATGAATTAATTAAGGTCATGGAAAACAAGTATCTGTATCCAAGACTACTCTATCCAGGAAGGCTATCATTCAAAATAGGTCAAATACAGAGCTTTCCAGAACAACAACAACAAAAAAGGCGAAGGGTATATATTAACACCAAACAAGCACTGCAAGATATGCTAATAGGACTGCTGTAATTGGTAGAAGAAATAGGAAGAAAAATAGAACCACACTAAACAAAAATGGCAATAAATAAGTACATATCAATTATCACCTTACATGTGAATGGTTTGAATACTCCGATAAAAAGATACAGAGTAGCTGACTGAATAAAAAAGCATGACTCACATATATGTTGTTTACAAGAAATCCACCTCACAACAGAAGACTCACACATAGGTTGAAAGTGAAGGGATAGACAGAAATCTGCCAAGCAAATGGAAAGCAAAAAAAAGCTGGGGTAGCAATACTCATATCTGATAAAGTAGATTTCAAAATGAAGGCCATAACTAAAGAAAACGAAGGCGAATACATAAAATTGAAAGGATCCATCCAACAGGAAGATATAACCTTGGTAAACATATATGTACCCAATATAGGAGCACCAACATATGTATTTAAAATGTTTTGGAGGACTTCAAAGGAGAAATCAACAGCAATACAATCATAGCAGGGGACTTCAACACACTGCTGACATCACTGGATAGATCTTCTAGACAAAAAATTAACAAGAAAACACAGACTCTAAATGAAGCACTAGATCAAATGGATTTAATAGTTATATACAGAGAATTACACCCAAAAATTACAGAATTCAAATTCTTCTCAAGTGCACATGGGACATTCTCAAAGATAGACCACATTGAAGATCACAAACTAAGTCTCCAAAAGTTCAACATGATTGAAATCATATCAAGCGTCTTTTCAGATCACAGTGACATGCAACTAGAAATCAATTGCAACAAGAACATGCAAAGACATTTGAAAACATGGAGGCTAAATAGAATGTTATTGAACAATAGAGGGATTACCATGGAGATCACGGAAGAAAGTAAAACTTCCTGGAAACCAATGAAAATGAACACACAACAAAACAAAATCTATGGGATGCAGCAAAACCAGTTCTGAGAGGAAAGTTCATAACACTATAGGCCTACCTCAAGAAGCAAGAAAAAACTTTTAACAAAATATCTAACCTCACAACTTAAAGAACTAGAAAGCAAACAAAAAGAATACCACAGACCAAATAGAAGGAAGGAAATAGTAAATATAATAGCAGAAATAAATGACATGAAGACCAAAAAACAATTCAAACAATCAATGAAACAAGAGCTGGTTCTTTGAAAAGATAAAAAAGATTGATGGATCCTTTGCTAGACTCACCAAGAAACAAAGAGAGAGAACGCAGAAAAACAAAATCGAAAATGAAAGAGGAGAAATAATAACTGAAATCACAGAAATGCAAAGTATTGTTAACAAATATTATGAACAATTGTATGACAACAAATTCGACAATCTAAAAGAAATGGACTAATTTCTAGAAACACATAGTCTCCCAAAACTAAACTGGAAAGAGATAGAAAACTTGAACAGACCAATAACAACAAAAGAAGTTGAAGATATAATCAAGACTCTCCCAGCAAACAAAAGCCCAGGCCCACAAGGCTTCACAGGGGAATTTTACCAAACATCCAAAGAACAATTAATACCCATTCTCCTCAAACTATTTAAAAAAATTCAAGATGAAGGAAGACTTCCAAACTCATTTTATGAGGACAGAATAATTCTAATTGCAAAACCAAAAAAAGACGCTACAAAGAAAGAGAACTACAGGCCAATATCCCTGATGAACATAGATGCCAAAATCCTGAACAAAGTACTAGCAAATCAAATATAGCAATACATCAAAAAAATTATTCACCATGACCAAGTGGGATTCAACTCAGGGATGCAAGGCTGGTACAATATTCACAAATTAATAAATGTGATACACCACATAAACAAAATGAAAGATAAAAATCATATGATCATATCAATAGATGCTGAAAAAGCATTCGACAAAATCCAGCACCCATTTCTGATAAAAACGCTCAGCAATCTTGGAATAGAAGGATCATATCTCAACATAATAAAGGCCATATATAAAAGATCTACAGCCAATATCATACTCAATGGGCAAAAATTAAAAGCATTTTTCTTAAGAACAGGAACAAGACAAGGATGCCCACTTTCGCCACTCTCATTTAACATAGTACTGGAAGTCTTAGCTACAGCAATCAAACAGGAAGAAAAAATAAAAGGGATCTAAATGGCAAAGGAGGAAGTGAAACTGTCATTATTTGCAGATGACATTATACTATATGTAGAAAACCCCAAAGAATTTATCAAAAATTTGCTAGACTTAGTAAATAAATTTGGCAAAGCAGCAGGATACAAAATTAACATCAAGAAATCGACGGCATTCTTATTCACCAATGATGAGCTCACAGAAAGAGAAACTAAAAAAAAAAACAATCCCATTTACCATTGTGGCAAAAAAATTAAGATACCTAGGAATAAAATTAGCCAAGGAAATAAAGGAACTATTCACAGAAAACTACAGGTCATTGAAAAAAGAAATAGAGGAAGATATAAAAAAGTGGAAGCACATACCTTGTACATGGATTGGAAGAAATAACATCATTAAAATGTCCATATTACCCAAAGCAATCTATAGATTCAATGAATCTCCATCAAAATAACAGAGACATACTTCACAGAACTAGAAAAAATACGTCAAAAGTTCATATGGAACCAAAAAAGACCTTGAATAGCCACAGCAATCTTGAAAAAGAAGAACAAATTTGGAGGGATCACATTACCAGATTTCAGGTTTTACTACAAAGCCAGTGTAATCAAAACAGCCTAGTACTGGCACAAGAACTGGCATATAGACCAGTGGAACAGAACAGAGAACCCAGAAATGTACCCAAGGCAATATGCTGAATTAATATTTGACAAAGTTGGCAAGAGCATAGAGTGGAGTAAAAACAGCCTATTTAGTAAATGGTGTTGGGAAAAATCGACACCTACATGCAAAAAAAAATGACTCGACCATCAACTTACACCATACACAAGAATTAACTCAAAATGGATAAAAGTCTTAATTGTGACTCATAATTCCATAAAAATCCTAGAAGAAACTGCAGGCAACAAAATTTCAGACATCATACCCAGCAGTATTTTCACTACTACATCACCTAAGGCAAGAAAAACAAAGGAGAAAATGAAGACATGGGACTACATCAAACTCAAAAGTTTCTGCACAGCAAAAGATGCAGTCATCAAATGGAACAGCAACCCACTGTATGGGAGAGCGTAATTGCCAATGATATATCAGATAAGGGGTTAATTTCCAATATATATATGTAGAGTGCTCATACAACTCCACAAAAGGAAGACAAAGAACCCAATTAAGCCCTGGCCGGTTTGGGTCAGTGGTTAGAGCATCGGCCTGCGATCAGAGAGACCCGGGTTCAGTTCCCGCTAAGGGCATGTACCTCGGTTGCAGTTTGTCCCCGGCCCTGGTCAGTTGTGCGGGTGGCAGCCACTCGATGTGTTCCTTTCACGTCGATGTTTCTCTCTCTCTCTCTCTCTTCCTCTCTCTCCCTCCCATTCTACCTGAACAAAAAATGGAAAAATTCCCTCGGATGAGGATAAAAAAAAAAAAAAAAAGAACCCAATTAAAAAATGGGCAGTGGAACTAAATAGACACCTCTCCAAACAGGATATACAAATGGCTAAGAGACCTATGAAGAAATGCTCAACATCACTAATCATCAGAGAGATGAAAATTAAAACCACTATGAGGTATCACCTCACACCTGCCAGAATGGCTGCCATCAACAAACCATCAAACAACAAATGTTGGCGAGGGTGTGCAGAAAAGGGGACTCTAGTACACTGCTGGTGGGAATGCAGACTCGTGCAGCCATTATGGAAAACACTATGGTGTTACCTCAAAAAATTAAAAATTGAACTGGCATTTGACCCAGTGATCCCACTTCTAGGAATATACCCTAAGAAGCCTGAAACACCAATCAGAAAGAATATATGTACTCCCATGTTTGTAGCAGCACTATTTACAATAGCTAAGATCTGGAGACAACCCTAATGTCCATCAGTAGACGAATGGATAAAAAAGCAGTGGTACATATACACAATGGAGTACTACACAGCTGTAAGAAAGAAAGATCTCTTATCCTTTGAGATTACATGAAGGGACCTGGAAAGTATCATCCTAAGTGAAACAAGCCAAACAGAGAAAGACAAGTATCATATGATCTCACTTATTTGTGGACTATAATGAACGTAACAGTCTGATGAATGGGGTAGTCCCAGAGATGTGGAAGTGGGGTACAGTCTGACAATCCCCAGCAGACGGGTTGGTGGGGGAGAGATAAACCACAGAACTTATATGCATGTATGCATGAACAATGGACATGATCAACAAAGCTTGGGACAGGGCAGGGAGGGAGGGAGAGGGGGAAATGAGGGAGGGGGAAAAAGGAGGAACATCTGTAAGAAAAATAAATTAATAAAAAAGATTTTCCTTTTATAGTGTCTAATAATGTACCATTATAAATTATTATTGAATTATATTAAATAATTAATATATAATTATTAATAGTTATAATACAATTGTCAATAATTTATATTGTACATTATAAATAATTTATTAAAATTATATATTTTATTTTTAAAATTTTTTATAAGTATATATCGTCATTACTTTCTACCAATGGGACATACACACACACTTTTCAATATCCATGGAAATTAGCTGGCATTACACTTGTGCTGTCAAGCTGCCCTGTTATTTGAATACAGATACAATGAAGGCAAACACTCTGTTGCAGCAATTAATGGCATAACCCCCAAGTGGGCACTCGTGCTGGCTATCACTTCTAGAACACGACTCCCCCTTCTCTGTGAAGTCCCCACCCTTTGGAAAAATAGCACTTCGGGTACAAGCCAGGCCCTTCTTCACTCTAGCTCCTCACCATTTCCCTGAGAGTGACTGAGAGCCAAGCCTTCCAAAGACTAGAAGCCCATTTCCTGATAAATGGAGAACAATGTTTCTTAAGTAACATCATGCAGCAGACACACAGGTAATTACTATACCTTGTAAGCTCTTCTCTCAGATGTCCAGGGTCCACTGGGAAAAATTTCACCATAAATTTGAAAACAACCTCCTTAGGATCTTAAAACACAATATCTCCATAAGTTTTATTTATATTTACATGTCCACACAACAGTTACTCACACACACACACTCCCCTCTCCTGTTCCCTCCCCTCCCCATCACTCTCTCACAGATTTTTAAATCTTAATTTTTCACATTTGTAAGATGCTGCTATTTCTGAATTGTGTCTCTATGCAGATAGCAGTTAGGAAAGTTCTCCTGACCCTCTTTCTACCCTCTCTCCCTTTGAGTTTCTTTTCATTAAGATATGCCTTTTTGGGGCCTACTGTGTCCTCTCTTTAGAAGTGTCCCATTTTGAAAAAAGTTCCACTTTCTACTTGGGATTCTGCATTCCTGGTTGAGAGAAGGGCCCTGCTTTAGAGGCAGGTGAGTATCACCTGGCCGAAGGATCTAATAAAGAGTACCAGAAGAAGTATGGTCTGATGCCTCTATGTATCTTAAAATCTACATCAAGCCAGGCAGGTATGGCTCAGTGGTTGAGTGTCAAACCATACATCAAGAGGACCCTGGTTCAATTTCCCCTCAGGGCACATGCCCAAATTGTGGGCCCAGTCCCCAGCGGGAGGAATGTGGGAGGTGGCCAATTGATGTTCTCTCTCTGATGTTGTCTCCCTCTCCCTTCCTCGATCTCTAAAATCAGAAAGAAAAATATTATTTTAAATCTACATCAAAACACATCTACTTGCCTTCATTCCTACTTGCATTTGAAAATCAGAAACTCTTTGCATCTAAAGTAAACACATACATGCAGAACATAGCATCATTCAGCAAATATTTTTGAGTGCCTATTAAATGCCAAGCATTGTACTAGGCAGCTATTGGGAATAAAATGACAATAAAGCATTCATATACTTGTATAAGAGACAGGCATCTAGACAGACAATTACAAAGCCAGAAAGCATTATAAGCACTGAGTACTGGGGAAGCACAAGAGGGGGAAAAAAGTTTGGAGAACATCAAGGAAAGCTTCCTATAAGAACTGAAGTCTGAGTAGGGATGCCAGATTTAGCAAATAAAATACAGGAGTATCAATTAAATTTGAATTTCAGATAAATGGTTTCATGGGACATACATATACAAAGAAATTATTCTTTGTTTATTTGAAATTTCAATTTAGTTGTGCATCCTCAATTTTATCTGAGAAGCCTAAAGCTGAGGTTAGTTTAGTCTAAGTCAAGAGAGGTAGAAATATGAAATGATCAGTGGCAGATGTAAAGCTAGAAAGTCAGGCAGAGTTCAGTGTTTTGTGGATCATGCTAACAAGTTTGTACTTTATTCTAAGGGCAATATGGAGCCATGGAAGCATTTTAAGCAGAACAGTGATATGATCAGTTTTATATTTTCAATAGTTCCTTTTGGGAGTAGTATATATGAAGGGTTAGGGGGAATCAGTTCAGAAGCTGTTGGAATAATGTGACATCATTTTATGGTGGGAAAGAGATAGAACCATGGAAAGCACCAACACGTAAAGAACAGGTGAGAAAGCAACACTATAAGAGAATGTTTTGCAAATTGTTGACTGAAATCCACCAGCATCAGAAACACCAGTGGAATTTGTTGAAAATGCAGGTTGCTGGCACCCAACCCAGTTATGAGGTACTCTGTTTTTTAACAAGAACCTCAAATGATCCTGATGCATACTAAAATTTGAGAACCACGACACTAGATTGTAAAATACAAGGTGGATAATGGTTCATACTTAGTAGGCACTCAAATATAAACTGAAATGAATGAACAATGTCTGTGACAGGATAAAACTAAAACATCCTCAGGCAGAAGGTGAATGGCATTGCAGATTGACATCAAGGATGTTCAAAGATTTGCAGTGTTGGAACTTGAAATGTATTCCCAGAGCCAATCCACAGGGTGCTATAATTGCTGGGCCTCTTTAAATTCACTCAAAGATCCAGCAGCATAATTTTCAACTCGGGGAAAGTTAAAATGTTTTTTTAAATTGCTGAATTCACTAGACATGTAAATAATTAAAATAATACATCAAAACCCTTTTCTCCCCTTATGTTAATGTGAGAAATAGTGTGGCATTACTGAAATATTGAAATATTTTGAAGTTTTAATTGGGAATTATATTCCTTAAATGATTTCCCATACTTACTTTTTACTTGTTTTGTAATAGGCTTCAGAAGTTCCAACCAGACCTGAAACAATATTAATACAAAATTGGTAGAACATGGCATTGAATGCAGCTGTTTTGGGGGTACCAAATAAAAGTAAATATAAAATAAATAAATACCAGGACTATTTAGAATTCTACAGATAGTTACAAACAGCAATGTCTAAGAGTGACATACTTCTATCACACTCAATCTGCCCCTTATATTTTCTCAATGACAGTGAATATTGTTGATCTATAACCTCTTTGTTGTTGACATTTGAATCACAGATCCCCTGCCTGTAGGATGACAGAGGTGTCACACACATACAAGGTTCATTAGTTGCTACAAAAACAAATGAAGGCATTTGGCTCCACGTTTGAATTCTACAGCCCCCCAGATGCCAGCTTAATAGATATAATGAACTTTTCTGGGAAGGTGCCAGGTAACAGGCAGGATACAGCAGGAAGAACATAGAAAATATTAGAACTCCAGAGAGGGGAAAAGGGAAAGTCCCCTGAAGACTCATTAGTGATATCTGGAGGTTGAGGTCCAGCCTCTGGAAGTCAAAAAAAATAAAGCATAGATGTCTGTTCACAGAGTTACAAAAGACGAGCATGGTGTGGAAGAGTTTGTGTTTGGCAAACTGAGGTAACAGTAGAAAAATAGGGAGGAGAGAAAATAGTTATTAAACCCAGTCTTTTTGCAAGGGTTTAAATGTTTTTTTCCCCTATTTTTCAATCAACGTTTGAGCCTTACATACCTAGTTACAAATGGCATTTAGAAGCAATTGTAGACACAAAGAACCCTCTAATGACACCAACTTACATTATTTCCAGAATGGTTACAGAATTCTAATCCAAAATATTCCTTTTCAGCAAGATTTAGATGGCTGCAACTCAGGTTAAACAGCTTCTTTCCAGATGACTTTTGCTGAACAAAACAAAGAGATCATAGCACAATTTGCATTCCTAACCTGATATTGTTACTGCAGTGTGAATAAGTGGTAAAAGTGACAAGAACTGTTTCCTTTAAGCTCAGTTTAGATGTGTTGCATCCCCTCAAATGATGTTGAGTTTTACAGATAGATACATGCATCTATCCATAAATTGTTTTAGGGGTACCCTTTAGAAAGCCTCAAATTGATAATAAACCCTCTTGGAAAAACAGAGCCTTGAATTTAACTATGGCTAGATCTGCAAATCTACCCTTTCAATAGAATTATTTAATCAATCCATCACAAGCAATTTGAATGATTTCCCCCCAAATTGACAGTTTAATCAAGATGCAGATCTGACTTGCCTAAAATCCCTCAGTGGCTCCCCTCAGGATAAAGTCTATACTCTTTAACATCCAGAAGCTGGGCCCTCTCTCCCTCAGGCAGCCCCACTTGCCCCTCCAGCCTCATTTTTTGTCCCTCCCCCTTCCCAACATGTTTCTCTAATAATCACAGCCTGCTCCTAGTTCCCCAGACATGTCAAATAGTTTCATGCCTTCATGCCTCTGCTCTTGCCATTTCTTCTACACAGACAGCTCTTCCCTCCTTTCTTTGGTCAGCTCAGATGTCATCTCCCTGGTACAGACAGCCTTCTCTGATCCCTATCAGCAACAAGTTGAGCCAAGGACAATCTCCTTGCTCCCAGACACCCTGGCTTACCTCAAAGGTGCCATTTCTTACACATGATGTCTATTAGACTGAATTCCTTCATAGCGGGGACCTTGCTTTAGCTTTATTATTACTCACCAGGTCTAACTGAGCCTAGCACTTAGTAGGGGCTCTTGTGTTTGTTGTTCCAAACACAAGAAATTTACCAATTTACTCAAATTAGCTCCTTGAGTAGATTTCCTTTTGCAGCTTTCCCCTTGGTTCACATAAAGCCACACATTTTTTTCTTCATAAAGTCCACACACACTGTGAGCACAAAAAAAGCCCATTTCTTATGCTTCTCTGAGAACTGGAGCTTTGAAGCACTCTCTCTGAAAATCTCTTTGAGCTGAGTGTGGCTGGGACTGATCAGCAGCCGCCATTGCTGAACCCCAGGGTTGAAGTTTTCAGGGAAGAATGTGATGAAAAAATTGGGCAATGGCTGTTACGCACAAAGACACGATGCTGAAAACCCCTAGGTAAAGCCAAGTCACACAGTGCTAGAGAGTGCTGCAAAGGAAGCCGGGTGCGGGAAAATGTAGCTAGAAATCAGCGACCCAACTTGTAGAATTAACAGCAACCTCCTGAGGTCACAAATCCCAGCCACCCTCCCCTCCACTCTCACCCCTGCCCACTCCCTCAAGGCAGTAACACACTAAAGTTTTAGTAAACCAAGCCCACATCTGGGATTCAATAGGTTCCAGGAAGGCAGCATATCCTGCCCACTTCCCCAATCGACCAAAAATAGTCCTCTTTCCTCTGGACTCCTCTCCACTTGGTTACACTGTCCCAAGCTCCACCAACTCCAAAGTCGAGATTCATGTGGGTTAACCAGGCTCCTATTTTTAAACGCAAATAGGCCACAAAAGGTGAAACCTACTGCATCCCTAGTGCTTGGAGTGAGCTGAGGGAAAAAGGGTTTGATTTTATGTGAAAGGTCACATTAGAACTATAGTCCAGAAAAGGGGGTCAACCCAAGGCGGGGGTGTGGTTGCAAAGCATGGAAGGGGGCAGTGGAGGAGGGGTCGTCTGGTAGGGAGGAGAGAGGGGAAGTTTTTGCCTGTGTGGCAACCTTGCCCAGGGCATGGGCTGACACAGACCATTCCAGACAGATAAAATCAGTCCTGTTTTTAAAGTCCTCCAGGCAAGGACCTGCCACGAGATTTTCCTTATAAAAAGAAAAAGAATTTCTAAAGACAAATATGACAGCAATGCTTTCCTGACACCAAAGAAAAATTTCAGTCATGAGAACCAAATTCCATCATAAACTCCAGTTTCTTTGCAAACAATTGAGGAAACGCAACGTTTTCCTTTTTCTTCCTCACTTTTATTCTTTCTTTTTTTCCACCTTGGTGCTTAATCCTCTCCACCAAAGCCACCACATTCCATGTGTTTGTATATATAAATGTTTCTGCATTCACATAGAATATATAACCAGTCTGGTAAAGTTTCCAATTAAGGCTTCTTTTTTGCTCCCTTATGCAAAATCCCATAATATGTTTATAAGGATAATCCCCCAATTCTTCCATCACTATACATGTTGCCAACTGGCTCTAAAAGGCTTTGGCATTTTTGCATTTGAAGGTCAGACGTTCACGTGGCTCCATTTCTCCACCTCCATCTCAAAGAGACGCATTTCCCTTCAGTCCTCTATAGCATATATAGAAATTGGCCAGCATAGTGGAATGTGCTGCATAATAGGTAAGGTTTTGGTTCTGTCTCGACATGCAGCTTTTAAATTTTTTCAACCATTATGATCCTATTCCTCAATTTTTATGTTATGATTATTTTTCTCATAATATTTCTTTATGTACAACTTTCCTACTTTCTCTTTTATGGACTTCTTATTCTCTTTTCAATTGCTTGTTCTTGTTTAAGCTGCCACTTTTCAATATTTTAACCTAGTTTCTTAATGGATCTAAACTCTTTACTACCAGTCCTCCCACATATGGAGTTAGAACTCCAAGCCTGCATACCATCTTATCCTAGTCACCTTTGGATTACAGTGGAGCAGTATTTGTATATATATTTATATATATATGATTTAAAACCTTTCAGAATTTGTATTTTTGGTCTCCATTTTACATACTGGGTCTTCACCATTGGACACTAATTTCAGGGAGCTCCAAACAATAATATTTAAAGTGACTACCTCTAAAAAACAATCTACCAAAGCTTCTATGCATGTAGAGGAGTCATATAACAATTGTTAAAACAAACCTAAATTGTAATCCTGCTCTACCCACTTACTAGTTGGATGAATTGGGGGGGATATTTTAGCTCACAGATTGACCTGCCTTTTCCAGGTACCTGAAGACAGAAACCATGTGTTTGAATACTTGGCTTTATGTACAGTACCTGGCAAAAAGTAAACATTTTTGTTTACTGAAGAAATGAATGGATCCAAATATTTAACTTGATTCATATACATTAGTTAAGATAGTCCTCTCAAGGAGGAAGAACAAATTAGTTACTATGTAGCCTAGGGAAAATTACTGAAACTTTCTGTGTCTCAGTTTATGAATCTGTAAAATGAAGATAACAATAGTACTATCTCACAGAGTTCTTGTGAGGATTAAATGAGATAATTCACTCCAAGGTCTTAGTACAGTGCCTGGCAAATCATATAACTTAAGGAGTGCACATGTAAAGGTAAATGCATAGAAGAGTCTGGAAGGATACATATCAAATGTTAACAGCATTTTACCTGCAGCAGGGATAGATCAATGGGAACTTTAACTTTTTTCTCTGTACATATCTGGAATTTTTTTTTTTTTTTAATCATCAAGGAACATAAAAAACACTCTTAGACAACTTCTACTGAACAAAGCACAGAGGATGCCTTCCATTTCCTCTTTTAAACATTGGCTAATGCTTATGTCATGATGAAAGCTCAAGGTTAGTAGGCTACTCTAATATGATCTTGTACTTTTATATCTATCAATGGAGCCCCATACTTAATAATAATTATTTTCTTGAACAATTTTTGATAATTCTACTTGTTATTGTAATTACACAACTTAATTAAGTTATGTATGCCAGATTTATGAGCACTAAAAGCAAGAGTTTTTTTCTATGAAAAGTAAGTTAATCACTTTGCAAAAACTCAATAAGTGGGGAAATTTTACAAAATGTGCTGTCAATTAGTTTTGGATACGATAGCAATAAAATATTGGGGGAGGAAACTCCAGAAAGACTCTGTACTCAAATTGCTTTGCAAGCATCTACATTCTTGTTCCATGTTAAATAAGTAAATGCTGGAAATCATAGATAATGTATTATGGGTATGGTTTAAGGAAGAAAGGCAAAAGGAAAGCCAATCAGAAGTCCTTGCTAAATAAATCCTTGACCGTACATTAAAAGATTAATTTATGAATATAAAAGTATATGTTTTGGGTCAAAATAAGAAGTTTAAGGTGTTTATGTGTATGAATATATTTAGTATGCTTTAGCAAATATTATCAATCAACTGACCAAAACCGCCTTTGACCACATTAGATAAAAGGGAGTTTAATGTATCCATATGTTGGTTGTGTACTTTAAAAATACAGATTATACAATTCAGATTTTAGAAAATGAAAACTGAGACAAAATATAGCGTATTATTAACAGTAGCATAATAGGTTATTTTTACATTTTTCTTGTAGTTGTTATATTTTCCAGATAAATGTAATAGATATTATAAAATGTAAAAGCATAATGCCATATAAAGAGTCTTATAGATGCTTCTCCTGTTTCCATTGCTGATTACAACATTCAAAATATTTCTCATGCTTCCCTCAGAAAATTGTTCAGAGGGAACAATTTATCATCTGAAGTCACAGATGATAACCACTCATTCTTCTGACTTTATGGATATGTCTCATTTTTTTAATTCTTAAATATGACTATATTAGCTCTGCCTGCCATAACAAAATACCATAGACTGGGTTGCTTAAACAATAGGAGTTTATTTCGGATATTTCTGGAAGCTGGAAGTTTGGGATCAGAGTGCTAAACTAGTCAGGTTCTGGTGAAACTTCTTTTCCTTCCCTGCATACGGCCACCTTTTTGTTGTGTCCTCATGAAGCAAAGAGGAAGATAACTCTTTCTTTTTCTCTCTTTCTCTTCTTATAAGACCACCAATCTTATGGGATTAGGGTTTCAATCCTATGACCAAATTTAACCTTAATTACTCCCTAAAAGCTGTCTCCAAATACAGCCATTTTAGTCATATTTGAAATTTAGATGAGACACAATTCACTTCATAATAATGACCCAGCTTGACAGCTCACTTTAGTTACCATAC